AAGGGGACAAAATGGACCCCTGCGGTACTCTATGGCATAGCTGCCATGGCGCAGAGCCATAGTCCCCCAGCACCACCTTCTGGAACTGGCCGTTGAGATAGGAGCGGAACCACTGCAAAGCAGTGCCTCCGACCCCCAATCCCGCAAGCCTATCCAGAAGGATACCATGGTCGATGGTATCGAAAGCCTCTGAGAGGTCCAGGAGAACCAACAGGGACGCACTCCCCCTGTCCTTCTCCCTGCACAGGTCATCGTACAGGGTGACCAAGGCAGATTCAGTACCGTACCCAGGTCTGGAGCCGGACTGAAATGGGTCCAGATAATCAGTTTCATCCAAGAGTGCTTGGAGTTGTCCCGCCACCACTCGCTCTAACACCTTGCCCAGAAACGGGATGTTGGCCACAGGTCTATAGTTAGTAGCCATCTCTGGATCCAGTGACGCCTTCTTCAGGACAGGTCGGACTACCGCCTCCAGGGGACTACATGTGTATGTGTGGGAGGGTTCTTTGTTTTGAAAAAGAACTTATTGTCATCCCTTCAAGAAGCAACTTGGCTCCCCTCAGCTGGTTTGCACTGTTTCCTTTGCTATTCTAGACAGATTACCCTAATGGGAAAAATGCTACTTCTTGATGAAGTGTCATTTCTACAGACATTATTGGGGGAGAGATGGCTGTCCCTCAAAAGGCATCCTTCAAACGCCTTGTCTGTACTTGAAAATTACTCCTCACCCAACATTTCTTCATATTCTCCTGCCCTCTCCAAAAGGCTCTGATACTCCCTATCTTCATGCAAGAGGAATGCCCCGCTCAGCCATGGAGCCAACTAGGAGACTTTGGACCAGTCACAGACTCTTAGCCCAACCTACCTCACAGGGTTGTAGTTGTAGGGATAAGACTGAGAGAAGCAGGAAGAAAATGGCATAAGCTGTTCTGAGTTCTTTAAAAGAAAAAGGCAGGATATAAATCTTATCAATAAATAAGTTAGTGGGCCTGGTGGCAAAGCTAATGTAATATGATGTAATTTATTAGAATTTCATTTTGGGAGTCTGATCAGGAGCCACCAGTAATTCACAGATAAGTTGCAAGCTCCTGGCATGGTTCATCTCTGTATTTAAATGGTAGTTTCTAACAGGATTTTTTCCCTGTTGACTTGTTGCTCTTTAGGAATAAAGAAGCTATTTTGGCTGGAAAAGTAGCTTCCCTCCAATTCTGAATCTTATTCCTGATAGAAAACCACAGAAGCTTGCTGCCAAACTGTTTCCTTGATTTTAGTTTCTTGACCTCACAGAGTTTGAGCCAATCATTCTGTCATTTACTTGGATTTTCTATCCAAATAAAAAGCACTGGATAATATGCTGTTCTGCTTATGACTAGTTTTACTACAGGTATAAATGATATGCTTGTGCCAGTATTTTCATGGATGTGTATATTTCTCTCATATGAATTCTAATAGTGTTTTTCATTGGTTGGCAATATCTTACACAAAATAGTTTTGTCCCCTTTGATGGTTACATTTTAGCTTCAGACAACATCATAGTTTTACTCAAAGGTTGAGTGTGGTTGCTAGTGAACTATGAATTATTCTGGATTATCATGTTATTTGTACTAAAAATTGTTTGTTAACTTACAAACAACCTACCAAGAAACCATGAGTTCTTTTCATGGGTTCCTCAAGTTTAAGCTAGCCTTTGAGAAAGCCAGCTTGTTTTGTTTTCCTAATGGCAACCGTTTTTCAAGCTCCATAGAACTGCCATACTTGAGAGACCATCTTCTCCTATCTGATCCTGCCCATCCACTGAGATCAGCACAGAGGGTCCTTTTATATGTTCCATCACACCATCTGACAGGCTTGGTAGGAATGTGGTAAACTGCTTTCTTTGTTGCAGCACCCATGTTTGAAACTTCCAGCTCCAGGAGATCTGTTTGCCTTTCTTTTTACTGATTAGTTGAATACTGATCAAGGAGCTTGCTGAATTTCTAGTTTTTCTGTGTGGCATATATTTTGTGTGTATATTTTAAAACATACTTTAAACATGCTAGCTGATATGAGCGCTCCCTTTAGAGAGCAAAGTAGAAAATACTGAAAAACTAACAAATAATGCCTATTGTACACCTGAGTGCTTCCATTTGAGTAATATTCTGAATTTTCTCACAGGAAGACTTGGGAAGAACAGAATGGTAGATCTCCTGTCACATACCAAGTCCTTGCTAGCTTGTGCTGGGAAGGGCAAAACATGTGAGGGTTTCACTGAGATTTCCAGCCTGGCTGATCTTTGCAGTCATACTTGTGTGGAATAATAGGCTCGTGTTACAGGAGGCCAGATTCTGGCTGAACATCAGGATAAAATTCTGATTATTAGAGCAATATGACAAAGGAACCAATCACTGTAGGCAAGCTGTGGGCTCTTCCACACTGGAGGCATTTAGGACACAGCTGAACTGCCATCTGTTAGGGATGGTTAAACTTGAAGTCCTTCATGGAGCACTGGTTGATTCCTTTGGCTCTCTCGGCTCGTTGCCGTTCTAATGCTCTATGATACTGTGATTTTCCCCTTTGAAACAAATAGTGGGAGGGAAGTAAATTATCTGCATCAGCTATAAGAATCCAAGTTGGCTCCTGCCCTTTCTCCTGAATGCCCTGTATGGGTCCTTTCACCACCTATGTCTTGTGAGAGTATAGCTGTATGCGCACCTAAGACCAATGGGAACCTCTGCAGCAGAGCAGCTCCCACTGCAAGTCTGTCCACCATCAGGATTGTTAAAGGGCCACCAACACGCCATGCTAAGCTCCTCCAAACATTAACATTGGAAGATTGTTGTTCATAAAAACCTACACAATGTTCCTCCTATACTGCCCCATGTTTCCCTGTTGTCACCCTGACTAGCTTTTGTTCCAGTTCATAGTAATTTTGAGAGTGTTTTATTGCCTATGTCATGCAAATGTTTTGCTAGAAATAGGTGTAGCACTATTGGTTTGAGCAGCGTTTTATGTAGTTGGTGACATCCTCCTATTTTATTTCTCCTCCATTCCACATTTGCTTGGCTAAAATGTCTTCTCTGAGCTCTGTAGAGGTAGGGGTAAATCTTGGTCAGTTTCACTGCTGTCATGTAGGTTTGACTTTTTAATTAAAATACACTGCATTCCAGTGCTGTGGAAGGGGAGTCGTGTTGGTAGCAGCAGCAGCAGATTGGGCAACTGAACTGCATTTCCTTAGAGATGTTAGAATAGGGGGAGTTATTTCCTCAGTAAGGGAGAACTAGGGGGCTCTCCATGAAACCTTTAGAAACTTCCTTCTTGAAAAAAAGTAACCTATATCTTCAGTGGCTGCAGTTTCAGCAGTCACCACATCCTTTGCTCAGAGCTAGTTAATGCCCAGTTACCTCAGAACAGGACTAGGAGTTGTAGTAAACGGAAAACAGGATTTGTTTTGTTATTTTCATTTGGTACTATGACCTAGTTAAATTTCTTCTGTGATACATAGAGGCAGTGGTCTTCCCCGGCCTGCTGTCTTCTGGATAAGTTAGACTTCAGTTTCCCTCATCCCCAGCCACTCTAGTTGCAGATGTTGATAGTTGTAGTAATATCCCTGCTGGACAGCAGTTTGGGATGGCCAAAAAACAGGATGCAAGTGTCATCAGTTTGAGCTGTTAGGGGATGCTATTATGGTACAAAAATGTCTTAAGAATTTTATGCTTTCATTTGTCCAACATTTAATACTGATAATTCTTTTTTATTTTTAGTTACTGATGAGATTTTATGTAGTACTGAAACTTCCACAGGATGCCAGTATTCATTAATACTGTGAGCCGCCCCGAGGCTTTGTTGCGATGGGGTGGCATAGAAATGTTTTAAATAAATGAATAAATTAAAAAAATTAAAAAAAAGGCTTGGCTGACACAGGTTTGCTTTGTATCTGCTGCTCTTAAATCCAGTGGAACATTCAGAACCTGAGGGCCAACCTGTTCAATTGCCATTTGGGTCAATCTGACTTCTATTACCATAATGCCATATGAAACACTGCCAATTTTAGATATTTTGTACCCAAACTGAAATGGCAATATTTTATCCCTTTCTCTGCTCATAAAAGAGATGAAAGTTGGAGTCAGGAAAAATGGTGTTCTTAGGAATGTTCTTCTTGAAAACATGGTTTCATATCATTTGTGGCAATTTTGGGCTTTCTGTGGAACTTTTGAAAATAAACATCAAGAGCAATGGGTTAACTAGTAACCATCTGAGTTACTTTCCCAACTGTGAATTCCTAGGTAATATCAATAAATGCTCTAGTTTGATATTCATTTCTTACCACAGGGCAGGAAAAAGTATAGTGAAGGCTTGCAGATAATGACTGGAATATGTGTACAAAATAGTTCTTCAGCATGAACACAGTGGCAATTTCCTTAATCCAATTTAAGTGGTTAACAGTAAATATAACTTGTTTATGATAGATTGAAACTCTAATCAAAATGCAAAAGGCTACACATGACAATAGATTATTAGCCTTCAACTTATGAAAAGTATAAAGAAATAATTAAAATTAAATATTCCTCCAGGTTACAAACATAAATCCATAAAATACTTTAACAATTAGACTTACATTACATTTTAATAGCAATATACATTAATTTAGTAATATCATGGAAGCAGATGGTTCTACTGTGTATAGTACTGGATAGCAGTTCAGCTTTCATCAGCAACTACCCAGTTTTGGTTTTTGTTTGCCTTTTATTTGTAAAAGAACTATTTATCTTCTTCCAAGGAATAAAAGACAAACCTGTAAATATTTTCCTAGATCTCTGTGTTTGATTGTTGTCATGGGCATGTTCTCTTTTTCAATGGTTTTGTAAGCCATTGGCTTTTGAAAGAGCTAAAAGTAGGTGACAACCAAAAACTGCCCAGTTATCTGAGTGAACCACAGCCCTTATTTGCAAACGCTTCTGTCCTCTTTACCTGATCAGTTCTGCTTTCTGTCTCTGTCTTCTAACTATCCTCCATCTTTCCAGATGCAGGACGCTATGGGCTATGAGTTACCCTGGGTGTACTTTGTCAGTCTGGTCATCTTTGGATCCTTTTTCGTTCTTAATCTGGTTCTTGGTGTGTTGAGCGGGTAAGCTGCTGGTTTTGGTGTTTTCCCTCCTATCATGTTGCAGGGCAAGACTCCAGAATCAAGGTTCTTTCATGTCATCAGAAACCTTTGCTTCTCACTAACAAGGGGGGATGGGTTAGATTTGTAGTGATTCTATATTGTTTCTCCTATTAGTGATATGAGAGGTCAGTCTAACCCTTTGCAATCTAATAATACAATGAAGAGGAAATTCATTTGCAAAGCTGCATAACTTTTTGTGGCTATTTTAGACTGGAGAGCATGGGAAATTTGCATCCTAGTTGATTGAAGCAAATGTCAAATTCAGCACTGTTGACTCAAGTTCCTTCTTCTGGAGTCTTGCAATGCTTGGGAATAGAATCTTCCTTACTAATTATCATTCCACTCTTCCAGGTCAATGATGCCATAGGAAGGGAGTGGCCCTGGATCTATTTTGTTACCTTAATCATCATAGGGTCATTTTTTGTACTTAACTTGGTTCTCGGTGTACTTAGCGGGTAAGCAGAAACAGGAAATATGTTTTTTGATTGCTGATGTTGCTTAATTTCATGGGTTTCTGAATTGATGTTCATGTTCTTTTTCTTGAATTGTGGATACGTGTTTCGATCCAACATATCCTCAAAGTTACCTGCTAACGTCAGTGAGCTTCAGCTCAACCTTATAAAGAGGAATTTTTTTTGTAGTACAGTGGCATCAAATATTTCTCCAAATGGTGGGCTTATCTCTATCAAAAGGTCTGGAAATAAAATTTCCTGTAAAATAGAGTTGAAACTTTAGCCCAGCGATGATCTATTACCTCACATGGAAGGAATTTATATAACAATCACTGTGATCACAACTTAGGAAATAGTGTGATCACAACATAGGAAAATCATTCAGCACTGAGCTGTGCATGTCATATTACAGTGGGAGCATGAGAAGCAGTCATATAGTAACTTTGATTATCACTGGCTTCTCTAATATGACAGCAGAGCTGGCAATGTTAGACCATGCACCTGAGTGCTGCGGGAGACTGGGGCACCTTCAACTTGAATTCTAAAATCCCTGAAAAACCATTTAAGTGCCACCTATAGGTCATAGGCTTTTGAAAGTCACCTTGTTTTTTCAAATTGGTAGAGCAATCTGAATGACACATTGCATACAGATGGAGAGATAAAACATAATGCTTACGCATTAACAGTAACAGTAATGAATGAAAAGGAGTGGAAAATATGAGCAAGTTGTCACTTATTGTGGGACCTCTCAGACTATTCCTTCTATCTCCCCAGTTATTCTTGATTCAACCATGAATGGGGAGGGGAAGGAATTTCCAACCTTCTGGGGTGCAGCAACAAAAATTGGTACTAAAAGGACTAACCAAAGGATTTTGTTAGGGACTTCCATGTATAGGTTTTGTTGATTGAAAGGTAACATCTGTATAAAAATTACTTAAGGCACCTAGTCAGCGAATATCAACTCTGCTTTCAGGTTTGTCCACATGAATGAAAGCCTATTGATAATTGGCTTTCTTGGTATGCAGCTAACAAGCAGAAATAATTGCTAACCATTGTAACATTGTGTGAAGCTGAATAGCATTGCAATCATTACACCCAACAATGCCAAATGGGAATCATTTGGAGGTAATTCTTAGTCACATGTTGATATTGACTGGATTCAATTTGGCACCATTGTTGGGACATTTCCAGAATTTCATTAGATATTTCTATCGAGACAGTTGGAAGACACCAGGTATTGTTTATTTCTCTGCATCATCTTTGTAAAGATAGAAAGATTTTAAAAACCAAAATTCTTGTCAAATTTAGAAATAGTTTTAGGATTATTCTACACATAGTGATTCTGTACAAGAGGGCACACTGGTGTAGAGAAAAGCTTAGAAAGTTTTTGCTTAGATGTACACTTCTTATCATCTTTCTTGCAATAAATAGCTCAATAGTATGGCTCATGATTTGCATGTAGGAAGTCTCAATTTCTGGCTCTGGATTACCAGTTAAAAGGATTGCAGGTAGCCTGGGAGGAAAAATGCCCATCTTACAACATGGAGAGCCACTGCCAGATACAATACACAATTCTGGACTAGACTGACCAATTGTTTGATGATACGAGGCAGCTTCACTGTGCTTTAAAGCCCTCTCCTGATGGTTGGCATAATCCTTCATCAGCTTGTTTCCAAAGAACATTGCTTTATTATTTCTTAATTCTCTAAATGCAATGTAGATCACATTCTTTTAAACTGATAGTTTGGGAGCAGTTAACACAAAACAGTTCTGAATATGATCAGACTACCTAGAGAAATATCAGACAAATAAGAAATGCTAAAGCTTTCTGCAGCTTGGTTCTACATTGATTAAAAAAGTGCTAAATATATTAAGTCCATCTTCAAGATGTAATACCACTTGTATGGTGCTTAGAAGGAGAAGGGCGTCATGACTCTTGACAGGATTTCTTGCCATCCATCTTTTGTTTATATTACCATGCTACAAAGTGTTAAATGCAAGAGCTCATGCTTTTCACATTTATCTTATCTTTGATGCATCCATCTACCTTATGGCAAAGCTCTCTTCTAGGACTGACTTAATAAGCAACATTTGATTCTGAGGGTTAAGTGAGGCTCCTTGCAAACCTCCATTTTAAAGTCTTCACTATCAGATGGATTTGAGAAGATGGAACAGAAACCTGGCAAAATTACAGATGGAAGAGATATTTTAGCACATACAGTAATTTGACTGTACTGAGTTGTTTAAAAATACACAACAAAAGTGCTTTGTACTGTAGGAATAATAAAATAAACAATAAAAAATTGGGTTCATGCAAGACCTATTGGAAATATTATTCCTCTGTGAATTTTAGCTATCTTGAAGCATTTTATAAGAAATAACCCCTCCTTAACTTTGAAAAGTGATTTGAAATGCATCACAGGGTCCTATTTAGCAACTTAAAGATATATCAAAGTAACTAAAACAGAGAGACCATATATATTTATATGGCTTGAAATTAATGTGGACAACTGAGTTAGCATAATAGGAGAAAACACCGCTAGTGCAATTCAGGCTAAAACTCTTTTTTCTTTTGGTTCTCCTGTTCTCATTTCTCTGCCCCCTCCCTCTTATCAGGGAGTTTTCTAAAGAGAGAGAGAAGGCAAAAGCTCGAGGTGACTTTCAGAAGTTGCGGGAGAAACAGCAATTGGAGGAAGACTTGAAGGGCTACCTGGACTGGATAACTCAAGCAGAAGATATTGACCCAGAAAATGAGGATGAAGGCATGGATGAGGAAAAGCCCCGAAACAGTAAGCAACTTTCCTCTGTTTCTCTTTGGGCTCCTAGCCAGGGATGAAAGTTTAAAATGGAATTCATATATACACATGCTGAGGAACTGAGAAGGTAACAAAAAGCCATGCTGAAATAAAATGTCCCATCTGCCTTCCCTATTACTGTTGATACATAAAAATGGTGGGGAGAGAAATGACATAATTACTATGATAATGTAATCAGTACTCAATACTTATGTAATCAATACTCAATACTTATTATGTAATCAATACACAATCATAATACTGAATATTGATTTCAGAAGAACTTGTATCTTTTGGACATTATTTGTTTGGTCTTAGAAATAAAAACTGGCCTTTACTTTTTATTAGAGGCCTCCTGTTGGTCTATTGAATTGCAACAGACTTCGTCGAATTGTTTTGAAAGCAAAAGTTTCCTGACATAGCCTTTACCTAGAGCTGGTGTTTGTTTTCTTGTAACATTTATGTTCCCTCGTTTGGCTGAGAAGTTTAGACAAAATAGAAAACAATAAAATCAATATAATGCTTAGTAAGTAAACATACAATAATTGCATTGGCACTGCACTCTTAAATGTTCACCAGTGCATCTGTTTTCATGCAAAAATTTAATGCATCTGTAGTATCAAAATAAAAAGTACATCAACATATCATCATGAATTGGGAGATTATGGGTATTACATTTTGTGTGAGTGCAATTCCAGTTGTAAGTGAATGCAATTCCAAACCTAAGTTGGACCTTTGTGACCTACTCAAGATACTTATTTTCATTGAACTGACAGAATAGTAGGCATTAACCAGATTAATTTGCCAGAGAAGCCAAAACTAAGAAGTCATATGTCAGCTGTATGTCCTCTTAATATTTATAACAGTATTTGTTTCTTTGATAGACTTTTAACCTTAGTTGGGAACCTGGTTTTTCATTTTTTTATTTTATTTTATTTAGTTTCTGTTCATTGCCTCTTTGTCATGATGGTGAAGAAAGAAAATTGTAGGTCAAATTCCTCATTTCTTTTGCAGTGTTTAGCCAAACATTCCTAATACATAGGACAACTCATAAGAGATCCTTGCAAGAAATACTGAGGGAAAAATTGTCATTATATGCCTTGCCCTTCTCTTTGTGTCAAGTACCTCTTCTTTCAAGCAAGATTCCCCTTCCAGCGTCAACAAAATTTCAGCAAGATATTGTATGATGAGTGGCAGAATCCAGAACCAAATTAAGAACAGTTCCCTTCATAGCCTCTTGCAACCTTTACTTGCTTTCTTGCTTTGGTATAGATGCCTTGCTATTACAGCTGTGGTGCTGACCCCTTCTTTTATCAGCTAATTAAGGTAAAGCAGAGGTAAACTGATACATAAACCAATAGTGGCTTATTCTGGTGGATCCTGCTACATGTCTATTGGTTTCTCTAGCCCCCAGTGGGGGATTGACACTGATAAGGTTAGCAGCACTAGAATGGATGTTTCTGAAATTTCCTTTTAAAAAAATGTATTTAAAGACTTTTCTATGTAGGGAAGAATTTGTTTTACATAATTATCTGTTTACAGCTCTAACTGCATTGGTAGTTCATAGTAAATGCTGAAGGGAACTTTAATGATGCACTTGCTTCTTGCAAAAGGCATAAAATAAAGACTAGAGCATTAGCAAGTCAGAGGGGGGTCTAGTTGAACTCTAATAGATCAGTCAGTTGAAGAACTCATAAAATGTAAGTTTTCAAGATTGGTAAAGCAGTAGTGCACACAATGTGTCCTTAGAACAAAAACCCTAGAATGTTTTAATGTGTGTGTTCACGCACATATTTCAGCTAAGCTGTATGTATTCCTGTATGTGGAAGGGGATGGGCAGCATGAAGAATGAAAGAAATGGAACACTGCAAAAGGAGCAAACTGTGTATGCACCAATCCCAGAAATAGAAATTATTTGTCAATAATTGGAAGACAGGTAGAGCAGAACACTGTACACACCCAGCCTGTGAAAGTCTTAGAAAATGGAATGCAAGAACTCTGCCTATTCCTGGCCACTGGTATTTGGAGTTACTTCAGAGAAGGAAATGAGATGCAGAGAATATTCGCTTTGCATAGTCCCTTTCTTAAAATCAACACGGACACCCTCCACTTTTCATTAAACCCCAGAAATATTCTTATATTGATTGTGAAATATCAGGTCTTGAATGTTTTGGACTATTACACAGTTAAATAGTTCTTTGTTCATAATATTCATTACCAAATTTTTGTTAGCAGTTATTTTCTTTTGGGAGAGTAAAACAGAAATATTTCCACAGTTAGAATCAATAAGTAAGAATCAGCCAGTAAGAATGGTCTTATTAAAATAAAAAGTGGGAGAGGAGAAGCACCATGAAGGGAGACCATAGGCACCAAATTGCCCACCCCTGCTGTAGTTAGAATGATGTTCAGAAACACTCAGTTTATCACATAGCCAAACTGTAAAAACCATAGAAATCGATGTATCTCCTCTCACAACTATGTAGAAATAACTGAGAAGTATGTGAGCTGGTGACAATTACAAGGGTTTTGGCTGCATATCAGGGCTTATGTCTGAATAACAATGGGAGTATGATGTAAGGGGTGCCTGTATGAAAAAACTGAGAGAGAGATTAGGAAAAATAGGTTGTGCCATCTAATGGAAAGAAAAGAAAAAACCTGAAGAATTCAGACTTTAAAATTAAAGATGTAAATATGTATGCAGGAGTAAGATCAATGTTTATCAATAGTAATATAAGGTCTTAGTGACACTTTGTCTCAAAATTTAGATTTCCAATTTTTATAGACCATCCATAGACTTTTTCTGTACCAGGCTTTCTCTCTCAAGCAGTCTCACAGTGGAGGTTCCAGAGCTTCAGTAGAGTGATATTGCTTGTCCCAAATGGAGATACCTTTGCTTCTTCTAGCAAGAACAAGTGTGGAAAAGAAAAACTGTGCTTACCAAACCAGCCCATGTTCATGCTTCCTGAGCTCAGATTAACAATGTCACAGTTTAATTTTACTTGCTAAAAGAATGGTATTTATGTGTGCTAAGTGCACAATAGTTTTTGTTTTTCTGTAATAATGCACTAATGAGGATACGGAAGGTGTCCCTGGAAAACTCAGCTTCCTTTTGGGATGGAAGCTGTGTATTCACATTTTCTCAAGTCCATAATGTAGTTTGTTATATCTGAGTTTCCAGAAACTTAGGTGGATGGAAAGAAACAAACAGAGCGAGTCAGAAGGGGTCTCCCAGGCCATCTAGTCTGACCCCCAGCTCCAGCCAGCTCCGCTTATGACATGCCTATTGGTATTAGGCTATTTTGGACTCTTTTACCTGTTGATGTTGAACACACAAATGTTAACTGCGGCAGTACAAATTGCGTCCTTAAAAACCAATTAATTGCAGAGCCATTTCATCTCCTTAGCTTGCCAGCTGAACAGCTGGAGAACAGTGTCATCCAGACTGAGTCTCTTTTGCTTCTTGAGCATAAATATCTTAAAATAAAAGATGATGTCATAGAATTATTTATTATCTGTCAAAATTGATGTAAAAGTTGAGGAGAGAAAGAATGCGGCACTGTGTACTTTTATCTTTCTCCACTGGAGTGGAAAATAATCACTGAGTAACTGAGGAAAGAGTGCTACAAATTCTAACTATTGTAGGTTTTATGGAAGAAAGCCTGACTGAAGCATCACAGGAACAGCAATTCCTATGAAAGTGGAATTCACTCAGTGTGTGTATTGGGGACAGGGGGAGAAATGGTTACATGAAAAAGCATTAAAATATCCCAGTGAAGAAGCTATTGTTTGGCGCTGAGTCATTATTTGAGAATCCAAGGCTGCAAATCTATGTGTGATTATTTGAATATTAAATCCTGCAGCTTGTACCAATATGAGATTAGTCTTTCAGATCTAAAGACATGTTTATCAGATGCCCACCATTTCTCTTTTCAAAACATAACAAATGGTGTTTGCCCTATATTGATTTGTTTCTGGCATGCTTTGGAAGAATTAGAAATGAGTGATAGAGAGACAACAATCACTGGCAATTCTCAGTGTTACACTATAAGGGATAGTTTTATAGCTTCTATAGTATGTGAATAACTCTTATTCCCTGAACCATCAGAAGAGGAAGGAGAATCAACAAGTTTGTTTATAATTAGTGGCATAATTAATATCTGTGGTGTCTTTCTCTGACGGCAGTAACTCAGCTTAATTTTTCATGGTTTTCATTGACTCCCTGTTTTCCCTTTCATTCTGGTTCAAAAGAACTTGTGATATGAAATAAAATGGAAGTTGAAAAAAGAAAGCAACAACTTAAAAAAGGAGAGGACCAAAACTTCCCACTCTTTCATTGTCTTTTCATGATTACCTTTAAAGAATGTGAATGCAGTCTGGCTGAATGCAAAGTAGGACCAACCAGTGCATTCAAAGATACTCTGACAGAGAGGACAAAAAGAGGACAAGATGAAGGAGTTGTTGGACTGCTAACATTGCCTCACTGATGACAGGACCATTATTGGGAGGCCATTATCAATGCTCATGCCCTAGCCGAAGTAAGGCAATTTGTTGTTGTTGTTGTTAGTCACAAAGTTGTGGCCGACCCATCATGACCCCATGGACAACATTCCTCCAGGCTCTCCTGTCCTCCACCATCCCCCAGAGTCCACCCAATCTCACACCCACTGCCCCAGAGACTTCATCTAGCCACCTCATCCTCTGGCGTCCCCTTCTCCTTTTGCCTGTAAGTCAATTACATTATTGCTATCTAAGCAAGCCAGAGTAGTTGGAGGGGGATTATAAAATGGAGGATCGTGTCATGACCCTGAACTCCAAATGCAAACACAAACGCTGAGGAACCAGTGGTGGTGAATTTGTCACTTTATTCCTAACCATCTCTTAGTTTTAGCTGAGTTTACAAGATTCCTATCAAATACCTTGGATTCCAACATAATTTTGAGTTGGTAACCCTAAATGCACTTGTAGATATTGGTAAAACTGTATCTTAAAACATA